GGAAATCATGGAAAACTTTTTAGTGTTTGAGTATTTATTCCCAGACATTTGAATTCTGCTCAGAGCAAAGAGTAAGTACTTTCTCTTTGCTGTCCAAAGTAGAATTTACTTTAGGGGAGAAGTCTCTTCTGTTGCTTATGTTTGTAAATATGTTTTGCTGTTTTGTTTCTTTTTTCCTCCTGATATTTTAAGTTTAATATACTCAAGAGATTATAAACATCACTACCACCTGGATGTGAAATTGATTGAATGGCAAATAAAAAGTTTTCCAAAATAATTGTACCAGTAGGTGCTCCTATCCAGTAGTGTATGCGAGTTCTTTTTACTTTCTATCATTAGCTAAACTTGCTATTGACAGAGTTTGAATTGTTCTCAGTGTGATGGATGTATGATGTAATATGGCTGAAGATTTTTTTCCTTGTATTCATTTTTGTGCAAATTTTAACATCAGCTAGTCAGGCTGAAGATTTTCTCACACACACAGTTGAAACTTTGGGTTGTATTGAATCAATCAATTCAGAGATACTGCTTTCATTATAATATTAAGTCTTCCAGTCCATCAACATGGTTTGTCCCTCCATTTTTGTAGAATAAATGAGTAAAAAAATAGTTTCTCTGTGAAGGTTTGCATATCTTTTGTTAGAATTGTTCCTAGGTATATGATACTTTAAAAAAGTTAGTATAAACATTTTCAAATACATACAAATAAGTAAAGGCAGTTACCCTTTACCTCAGCAGTGGATATTTTGATATTTGTTCCTTTTGTAAGTAAGGTTATTTTAAAATTACTATTTTCAAAGGATTGCTGTTTATATATGGTGTAAAACTGATTTTTTTGCCCAACAACTTTACTAGACTTTCTATTCTAAACATCCAGTGTTCTTCTTCCAGATTTTCTACATTCATCACACATTCTACTATTCTGTAGTAGCACTTAATATGCCTCTGCCCCTTTGTGCCCTTGTGAAAGAAATCTCTTGAGTATGAGTTATATCTAATCATCAACCTCTAACAAGTAGGATCTGGCAATAACTCATGGGAAATTATGTGACATTCTTTTTGATAATAGGTTACAAAAAAGACTGGCTTCCATCATGTTTGCCTTCTCTCATTGTCCTGACTTATACTGAGGAATACCAGCCACCATGTTGTGAGTTGCCTAATGGAGAGGCTAGACAAGGAACTGCTGCCTACTCAGTAGCCAGCAGGGACTTGAGACCTGCTGACAGCTGACTGAAAGATGATGGAAATGGATGTTCTCAGGCCTCCCAATAGCCATGTAAGTGATCTTGGAAGTGGATTGTGCCCTAGGTGAGCCTTGACAAGAAGGCAACCTAACTGACATCCTAACTGCATATGAGAGACCCTCCACTGGAAGATTCAACTAAGTTCTGTCTGGATTCCTAGCCCATGCAGATGATGAGATAATTAATGTTTGTTGTTTCAAATAATTTAATTTGGGGGTAACTTGTTATGAAGTGATCAATATACTTACAAATTCTTACATCAGGCCCTGGTGGCACAGTGGGTTAAAGCACTGAACTAAGAAATAAGAAGCTTAAGCCACTTCCGCATGAGTTCGGTCCCTGCCTGCCCCGGAGGAGATCCACATGGCGTGGCAGACCTCTCCTGACCCACCCGCTGCTCTCCTCAGCAGTGGACTTCGTCGATCTGCCTGTTCTGTCCCCCACTCTTTCCTGGTGAATCCTCTCACCCTCTGCATCTCTGGCCTGTACCCCAGTTCTGTATGAATAAATACATAAATCTTTAAAAAAACAACAACAACAAATACATCATTTTTTCTAGTTCCTTTCTCCCTTTATTTTTTTTAACCTCATGACACTGGAGACCTCCAGTATAATGCTGGATAGGAATGGGAATGGTGATTATCAATGTCTTGTTCTTGAGTATATCATCAAATGAATGTTCCATAGACAATTTGAGAACACTACAGTAAATATTTAAGGTTGACTAAATAAATCCTATGTATGAGAAGGGTCGTGGACTTAAGCCTGACTTCCTCCTGAGTTTTTACATACCTTTATGTTTCTTTTTCTGCCTTCAGTGAGTTATATGTGGATCTAGCAAATGCAATAAACCTATAACAACATTATTCAGGAGCTTGATTCTGATTTCCCATATTTTATATAAATTGCTACCAGCATTTCTCTAATAATTGTAACTAACTACTAGGTAATTTACTTAATTTTAGTAAAACAAAGCTTTATTTAAAAATCAATTTCCACTGAGTATCATTTATGAGTAGAATATCTCTACATTTATAAAGGAAACATAAAGAGAGCTGATATTGAGAGACTTCCGGAAGATGGCCACAGAGTAAAGACGCCGAGATCACCGCGTCCAAGCCGGCATAGGAACTGAGGACTGAAAACGGACTATAGACTCACTTACTACAAGTTTTAACCCA